ATAATAATAATACATAGATAATATATAAAAATAGTATTTACGTTTTATATGAAAATAATGTTTTTGAATGTAAAAATACATACTTACATGCAAAAAATACATATTGGTTTGTAAAAATAATTCATTTATACGTAACGATATGTTTTATATTTATTTATATATACTAATATATGAATAATACGTAAATACTACATATTTTTAGGAAAAGATTATATATATATGAGAAATCTCCAGAAAAATCCTAAAATTTTACCCTAATTTACGAAAAAGTCCCAAACTAAAATTTGTTTACGAAAAAGCATGAATTACCGGTAAAAATGGTGATTTGACCATTTTTTTTCTAGTTTACCGGTTTTATTACTTACATGTTTCACTAAAGTCTCATTATTTTATCCTAATTTGCGAATAAGTCCCAAAATAAAACTTACTGATGATTTGACCATTTTCTTCATGTAACATACATTTTATCCGTTTCATTGTTGACTTAGACACCTAGTTATTAAATTAGCTGATAACATGAATACGATGGATTATATAATGTCACATTTACTGTAAAATTTGATACTCATCTCATCGGTTCATTTATGACTATGTATCTATGTCAGCAATGAAACCAATAAAATGTGTGTTTCCATGAAAAAATGACAGAAAATGAGTTGATGTCTGATGAGATGGATATATTGGGTTACATAAGATTAGATAAACAATTTGATATTTCTTATAAACGTAAAAAATAACGCAGTTGTTGTTAGCTTATTTAATTATTGTAGTCTTCGTTGGATGCATTTTATGTTCCAAAAACATATACAATACATCAGGATATCAAGTTTTATGTTAAACATAACATTATATTACTCAACATATCCATCTCATCATCTCATTTAATGAGTAGGTGTCCGGGTCATTAATGAAACCGGTAAAATGTATATTATATAGAGAAAAGTGTTAAATCATCAGTAAATTTTATTTTGGGACTTATTCGTAAATTAGGGTAAAATAATGGGACTTTAGTAAAACAGGTAAGTAATAAAACCGGTAAACCGGAAAAAAGGGGTCATATCGCCATTTTTACCGGTAATTCATGCTTTTTCGTAAACAAAATTTAGTTTGAGACTTTTTCATAAATTAGGTTAAATTTTAGGACTTTTTTGGAGATTTCCTTATATATATATATATATATATATATATATATATATATATATATATATATATATATATANATTTATTTATTATTATTATTTTTGAGGTAATGTTAATTTTAACTACAAGTTTGGCCTACCGGTAAAATCATCACCAAACTAGGGAGAGACCCCTCTTCAATTCTTACCTCCCCACTTTTGTTTTTCGTTTAAAAGTTATTAGACCTTAGCACAATATATTATATGGAAATTAAGTAATTTAATCACTTTTTTTTTAATATGTATTTGAAAAAAATAACTATTTTTTTTTGTTCTTTTTTTTTTCTTTTTGTAAAAATAATCACTTTGTTCGGAATGAATCATTATTTTAATGTGTATTTGAGAAAAATAACCAGTTTTTTTTGCAAAAATAACTACTTTGTTCGGAATGAGGCATTCTGGACAAAAGAAAAAACATTTTTTTGACTAACTACGGAGTGACATTCTGAATTCAGGACTAAAATTCTGGAACATGAACAGTATTCCGGAATGCCTAATTCATTAGTGTTGTTGATATTCCAGACCAAAATTTCAGATTTTGAAAAAAAAACAAAACTCTGAATTTCAAGAACAAGTTCGAAATTCGAAAAACAATTCCGGAATTTTAAGAAAAAAAAAATCATATTTTCTCTAAATTTAACAAACATAATAATATGAATTATATACAATATGAGTATATATAAAATTAAACATTTTATTGAAAAATGATGACAATAAACATTACGAAATATAGTACTAGAAATCCCAAAAAAAAAATATAAAATTAAACATTTTATTGAAAAATGATGACAATAAACATTACGAAATATAGTACTAGAAATCCCAAAAAAAAATTATTTGAAAATAAAAAATAAAAATAAAAAACTAAAAAAAGATAAACAACACTCCAAAATTAGACATTCCAGAGAATGTTCTTATTTTTCAAAAACTAAGAAAATATGATTATTTTATTTAAAAACATCGTTTATAATGGTTAGTTTACTCAATTTCCATATATTATATTATAGAATGTTTGAAAATTGAAAATATGTGTTTGGCTTAGTAGTAGAGTCAGCACCTCTCTTCCTTGAGGCTATGAGTTCAAAACAAACATCATCATTTCTTCTCTCTTTAATAAATGTAAGATTATTGACATAATATGTAAAAAAGATAAATAAATAATCACTGTTAACATGTGTGCAAAACAAAGCGTCACAATCTCATGTCATGAACTACATGGAATGCCACCTCAAGTGATAAAACCGGGTAAATATATATAAAAAAAAAAAAAGTAGTGGTATTTTTCGACCAAAAATAAACGATTATTGGTAAATAATGTATAAAAACGTGTAGTGGTAAAATATATACAAAACCTAAAGTTTGTTACCTCATAAGTATTTATCCCAAAGTTTTATTGGTTGCCACAAAAATCTATCTTTTATAAAATTCACCGTTTAAATTCAAAAATATATTGAATGTCAATGAAACATATTTAAACTATTCTAAAAATACTTATTTCCATTTGGAACAACTCAACCATCATAATTTCAAAAAATACTTATTTCCATTTGGAACAACTCAACCATCATAATTTCAAATCCATTGAATGTTAGCTTAACATCAAATTATATTTTTCAAATCCATTGAATGTTAGCTTAACATCAAATTATATTTAGGTATAGTTAATTAAATGTTAACTATACATTACAAATCCTTCAAAAATTTCATTAAAATTTTTAATAATATGAGAACCTAAAAAATATGAAAACCTAAGAACTCTTTTTCCAATTAATATTTTGGTAAACAAAACGGAAAAATGAACATATGTTTTAATCAAAATGGATATATGTTATATAAAAATATGCTTTTCATTTTCAGGGATGTACATATATACGTACATTTGTTTGTGTGTTTTTTAAAATATGTCCATTTTGAATTTTCACCAATATAATTTTTTTGTACACATTTGTATATATGTATATGTATTATGTATGTGTATATGTATATAGATCTTTATCTTTTACAGTTTTCCTTTTTTTGAACATATTTAATAGGAAGATGTTCAATTGTTGAAGAAAATGGGTGTAAATTCATACAGATTCTCTATTTCATGGTCAAGAATATTACCAGGTAAGTGTTTTTTTTTTTGTTTTCAATAGATCGCATTAAAACTCAATGAGAATTATGACACTCAATTTTATTGTATTTATCAAACTTAAATTATCGATATATTTGTAATGGGTTGCGTATATAAAGGATTTTATTTCGGTATATACAAGGGAATGTATATACGAAAATAATTTCTACATGACTTTCTAGATATTATTTAGAACATCAATATATTTATAATTATCTGTACAATTTCATTGGAAAAACCATGGTTGTAAAAGGCGTGCTTCAAGGCGTGTCATGGCGCGAGACGTGGTGTAGCCGTTACGAAAACGTCAAAGGCGGGTTTGTTAAGCGTGACACCCAAATAACATGTCAAGGCACACCTTATCGCGTTATAGCACGAGTTTTTTTCAAGGCGTGGGTCTTTTTTTTGGTTTTTTTTTGCTTCTTTTTCTTATCGGGCCTAAAATAATTGAGTTTTTTTTAACTTTTTTATATTAAATATTAATATAATACTTCTAAAAACTTGATATATTTAATAAAATTCAATAATAATATGATTTATCTTTTTTAATGTATATATAAAATAGTCACGTCTTGAAAAAGGTCATGGCTCGCCATGACTTAACTTTAACCTTGCTGACAAGCTCACGCTTCACGTTTTTTAGAATCTTGGGAAAAACTCATAAAATTATTTGCCTGATTAAAAAAAATGAAATACAAATAAAATTATTTGAGATTGAATGATAGTTTTTCCAAAGAGAAATATTGTCTTGTTTCTTTTATTTTCAAGATACAAGTTTGGTGACTACTGCTGTAAGGTTCAAGTTACCATCTTGTACCAACTTTTTATAATTTACTAAGTACATGGTTCACCAAGATTTTTTAACATAACTTTCATTAACTAGATGATAGCAAGAGGCTAGTGCACGGAAAATATGGGAATTACATAGAATTGATATCTTCGGTCAGATTTTTAAACCAACGTGTCTAACTTAGCTTAGGCTTTCGGTTCCTATTAGAAAAAAAAGGGGTTGGCTAAAAAGACACCCATTTTTACCATTTAGACAACTCTAATTAATTTTGAAGTATTTTTATTGGTTGAAATTGCATTGTTTTCCGAAAAAACTGATTACAAGTAGCTTATTATAGGTTGACTTTTTATAAAAATGATGAGAGAGTGTCTTAGGGGTGTCTTATTAGCAGCACCCAAAAAAAAGGGATGAGAAACGGCATAATTAAAAGTTCATCTACTTTAGTATTGGAATCAATATAGATAGTAACATTTCTGAACATCAAGGTATTCCAAATACAACACCCAAGCACCACATCTAATTTTTTTTATTTTTTTATTTTTCTATTTTTTGATAATTTGACTATGTCGTTACCCTCTCAAAAGATCCTAGTGATTAGGAAAAAAATTTGAGCATCCCATAGGCGGGAGATAGTCTCAACTTGGTAGTTGCATAATGGAAAAAGAGTACATAAAGTTTCATTCTACTTGTATTTGATTTTGATCGTGTTGGGAGGTCGTTATAGTTCAAGCGTCATCTTAGAATGTTTAGTTTGACTGGAGTCCATGAATCCCATGTCGAGAACTTATTTATATAGTTGTCTAAAATTAGATTCCAAGTTTGAATTTATCATATTATCATCATCAAGCAATCTAAGATAAATACATGAATGTTTCTCCTCTTTGCCACAAAGAGTGGTAGCCAACAGCTTAATTTATGTAAGCTTAACTCCAACACCTAAGAGTTTGATTTTAGAAAGGTTTATTTGAAGACATGATGTTAGATGGAATATATAAGGATGGGTATGATATATTTGGTTTTCTTTTCCCTAATATCCAACAAACCATATATTATTCATAAAGAAAAGGTGTGATACCACACACTTGTTGATACCACATTTGAATCCCTTGATGATGTCTTTTTCCTTAGCATTCCCGATCACTACATGAAGGACTTCCATCACTAAGAGCAATAGAAATGTTCGTGTTCTTGTAGCACTTTCTTCATTTTTAATTGCAAGGTCAGGGAACCACTGATGATGATCTAATTCGTAGAATAACAAAGACTTGATCTTATCCACGATCTCTAGTGGTCACCAAACTCATAACTGGAAGGGTAAAGTCAAGGTATTCACAAACTAACAAAATCATATATTTTTGGAAAGTCGAGTTTAAAAAAGAATATTCTTATCCTCGTAGTTGTATCATGCTCAATTAGTTCATTAGCAAGTGTGGGCCCACCCTAGTTTTCCTTCCTTTTATGGAGGCCAATTAGCAATCTCTAATAATTGATCCCATCACTATCTAAAGGTGGTTAGGAAGGACTCGAGATATAATCTTGTAAAGTTATCCATCCTATTAATTATGTGGTGATCATATAGTCTTGTAAAGGTATCCATCATAATAATCATGTGGTAATCAGATAATCAGATTCAATATTTTACTATATAGATAAGAGTGATATATGAGGAGTTGCAATCATTTTTAATTATCTCAAAGGACCTGAAACAATATAAAGAATTTTGTTTCCAATAGTGTTCCAAAATATTCTAATAAAAAGTAAAACAATCTGGTTTGGGCCCAATATGTTGTTGAAGCTGCAATCCCATGTGACTTTTTTTATTCCTCAACGAAGAAATCTCACACCAATTGAGTCACTTTGGTCTCATCAAGCTTGTTGAAGTGTTGGATCAATTAGGAGACACTTATATGGGGCACATTATGGAATTCTTTAGAATTAAAATTATAGAACTCCTTTTTTATTCAATTAGGTTTCGTGATCAAAAACACATTAATGAATATTCCTTTAATCGAGGAACCGACTCGGTTATTGTTGATAAACTCGTGGAAGAACTTAGAGTTTTGATTCCCTTATTTTCCCCACTTTATTTAGCACTTTGCACATGTTTTTATCCATTTTATCAATTCCCATAAGGTTAGTCAAGGTGTCATTTTGTTTATGCAAAAGAGCATCTAATGCTTTGTTTTTCTCAATTTGGTCATATATCTTCTCAATTAATTAAGCAATCATTTCTTATCCACATAGTATTTGATTGTCTTCTTAGCCCACCCAGATTTGATACCCATCTTATCCTTTTTAGATTTATTACTCAACTTTGTGAATTCATGTATATTATTTCCTACAAAGGTTTTATTTTATATTCCAACATCCGTTAAACCGTCTCTATGAATTTAGTGGGGTCGATTTATAGAATTAAAATTGGATTAGACTTTAATATCTCTTTCTTTCATTTAATATAATTGGGGAATGGTTTGAGAAGAACCTCATAAGATCCATGACTGATGAAGAATGACATATATATTTTAATGATTAACAAAACGATCTAGGTTCTTTAAATTGGAAGCAACCCTGTTAGTCTACATAAAATTTCAACCCCTAGGCATATCAACCAAGTATGCATTTGAAATGAAACTTTATCAAAAATTTGCTCCACCATGATTAAAAATAAAGCCTCTTGTATCATAGGCACACCTAATCTCTTTAAAATCAACAAAATGACAACAAATAATCAAACCTTCTTAACAAATTAGAATTTTGAGACCATAGTACATATTTCTTATCACAACTTTGAGGGTATACATATTAATTAGGAAGAATGGGGGCCTTGTATGAGATCCAAATACCAACGAAAGAAATAAAATACTAATGTGTTATGATGTATTGTTCCTTTAAAAAGGTCGAATCCCAAATACTCAATAAACCCCTTAATCTACCCACTACATTTTTACCAGAAAACTTGAAATCCAAACTACTCTAAATAGATTGATAAGAGAATAGAAGAATATATTGGTACTAGTTTTTTAAATACCCAAAATGGTAATTTGATTTCTTAAAATAATTTTTTTTTTAATCTAAGTCTTTCTATCTTTTATTCTAATCCTACAACAATTAAGGGACAAGAGTCATTTTCTAACATAACAACTAAAAACTTCACTTTTTTTAAACCTTCAAGGTTGATACTAAGATGTTCCCCCGAGTTAGATGGTTCTCGTGTCTATATATACCATAATATCATACATTCTTAAGGCATAATCAGTCTCGATACAATTAATTTTCAAATTAAAGGATCCTATAAACCACTTCCCCATTAAAATTCCTAACTTGTGAAATCATATTTGGTTTCCTAGTAACTGATTACAAGTCTTCATTCACCTTAGAACTTAGAAATCATCATTGATTTTATCGTAAATAGCATAATCCTTTTGGAGAGGTGCTCTAATTCTAGGAATATGAGAATTATTGATGCAAGAGTTCCTTTAATTAAAAATATTGAATGACTAGATGATGCGTTAAACTTAAGAGGACTTATAGGGCATATGTGTTGGTTAATATAAAGATTCTTATCCAATAAATTGGAGTGAACCTTTATTACCCTCAACTGAATGTTAACAAAAAATGGGCCAGACCCATGTTTGTATTTATCATAAATAGCCCGGTGAAATTTATTTATAAAATGATTCAATAAACATACGAATGTGTCCTTTTTTTTAGAATGTAACGTTAATCCTCTTAAAGTATCTAGAATAAGCAATTGTTTTTTTTTTTTTTTGTAATTTAATTGGTATACAAAAGATAGTAGTTACACAACTAAAATAATAGAGGGAGAAGAGAAGGAGGTCATTAAACCGAGGAAAGGGAACCAACTAAATGTCTTGGGAGAAAATCGATGTACTCATTCACATGCTTCATTGTTCACTTTTGGAGAAAAGCATTCATCTGGAAATTTTCATATACGATAAAATTATAGATGTGCATCTAAGTAAAAATATGAGAAAAAAGGTTAATAGTTAGTTCTTGTTCGCTTTTCGAAGGTTTGAATATTCACGATTTAAAAAAAATGCAAATGGTTTGGCTTGATACCTATAAATTACATGGAAACATCTCCACGGTCCAAATATACACCATACCTTGCATAGGAAACTAAAAATTTAGATTTATCCCTGATGTTTGACTCCTGTACAAATATTTTGGCTTAGTCAGATC